GTTACTGTTTTGTCGATTTCCTTCTGGATGGTGACGTTTCTAGAGGGCTTTCGTCAGATGGTGAATATTCCTGCACTTTCCGCGATACTTCTTGCAACTTTATATAGTAATCCATAACTCGACACTATAATTTCAAATATAAAGTTAGATCAGAAATCATGCTATAAAAAGTAATTACCAGGGTTCATACTTTAAATAAATATGCTTTCTCTATGATTTCATCTATCACGTACACTTGATCCCTGTTATCTGGGATCATGAAATTGGTAAGAATGTCAACGACATGCAACCCTCCTTTAACTCTGTGCATAGTGTAAATTGATGTTTCACGTTCTAAAGACGATAAAAAAAGAATGAGAAAATTCTGGGAGAAAGTATGTATTATTATATTAACTGTCACACTGGTTTTAGATTAATAATTTTGCATTCTTTCAGATGGAGCCACCTGCCGAAGAAAAACAGAATACGGTGCGTCGATCAAAATGGGAAGGAAGCATCAAACCTCTAGTTAATAAGTATGCGCTTGCTATTGAAGTGAAAGCGGAAACTATTTTTGATGATAATGTTCGGTCATCATCAATTAAGATTATTTTCGAATCGCCATTTGAAGACGAGTTTGATTTCAAAAAACATGAGTATTTATGGGTGCAGGATGTTTATCGGCGATTGTAAGCATACCGTATATATTATTTCTTAGTATTATAGAACACAGTCCATTAATTCTCATGTTTCACTTTAGTATATGCCTGTTCAACTCTCCTTTTAATATGCTTCGCGACGCGAACACGTTGGAGATTGCTTATAGGGAGGCATTTGTTAACCCTCTGATTCCGAAAGCATTTGACGATTTGAGCGATAAAATCAGATTTCAAATGTATGTTATTATATTATGTTTGGTTTCGTTTGTACCATATATGATAAACTCTTAATTTATTATTATTTGTCCAGCAGAGAGATAGAGAGCAAATTACGTAAAAAACAACGAAATGAAAAATTTACACGAACGCGAGTGAAATGGAAATCGGGTTTATGGAGAAAGCTCGTGGAATCCGTTATTTTTGTAGTAATGCAGATTTCGATATTTTATCAACGTCAGCACCATCTAATACGTGGTGCATTCAAAGTTTCGGTTTGCTTGTTTACCGTATGTAATGTTTGTGTTGTGTTAGTTACTGTTTTGTCGATTTCCTTCTGGATGGTGACGTTTCTAGAGGGCTTTCGTCAGATGGTGAATATTCCTGCACT